TGAACAAGAGTTTCTGTTTTTTAGAGGTTTTACAGTATTGATTTATTGACTAATTTGTTATCATCTATTATTTTATAATGATCATATCTAAAAAGTAAAAATCTGAAATCTAAAATATAAATGCATGTATAGTTATTAAAACGTATTTGTATAAATTCTGAATAAGATTAGAATAGATTATTAATAAGGGTTTTTTAATCATATGACATTACATTAATTTAGTTAGAGGTTTATAATTATCGTGTAAAACACTACTTCCAGATACACTAATGTTTGAATTCGTGCCTACATATTTTTAGGTTGTATACGTATAAAAATCTGACGATTTGTATTATTTGTATCGCTTGATAGTAAGAAACGGTCCATAGACACTATCTTAAGTATAAAACGTTCTATCGTTCTGGAAAAAAATATAATAGTAAATAAATGTTTCCTATACATTTGAGTTTATTTATTTCCTTAGAATGTGTAGACTTATGTTCACCGTGCAGAGTTCATTTTAATATTACACCTTTTGGTAGTGTGTAATAAATAACTAACAAACCATGGGCTGTAATAGATAGTGTAAGTGAAACATTTTCACGTACAATTTATGATAATGGCACTCTTTAAACATTAAGTATTTTTAGAAAGTATTTTTGAACTAAAGAACAAAAAAAAGGCGGACAGAATACACAGACAGTAAGAGTTTGGTGGGTGGAGGCGAAGGAGGACAATAGTCTAGCTTCGTTTACCTCAGTGCACAGAGTACCAAACTACCAACTGATCCTATTTCAATTTATGAAAATTAATATTTTGAGAACATTTTTCATCCTAAAAGTTTACGTATTTATAGACAAAATAATCTTTAATTTTAATAAAATAAAATGTTTGTAAATTCATATTAACAAATTACACTTTGCCCGGAATTATAAGATACTTGAATTGTGAAAAAGTTTATAAACTACAGCAGAATATAATTTAATAAATTTATTGAACTTTACAATATGAAAAAAGTTAAACGGTTTCACTAAAAAAAAAATATATATATATCAATAACTTCTGTGGTATAGGAATAGTCTAAGGCATTTTGTACGATGCGGAATTAATAGATGAATAATGCAAAAGGTTAGCGAGCATATTTCCTTGAAGTCCTGCCACAGAACATATACATTCTTAAACTGTAGATTATAATTCCTTTTTGGAATTGTCTCCGCAATAATGTGTTGAATTTCTTTTCAACCCTAACCGATCAAATTTATGTAATACTTGATTATAAACGCAATCACATATTATTACGTTCAAAAAACAATTCTGAGTCAAATTTGTTTTTATTTGGTTATAAAAATTTGGTTTTGGCTTCTAATTACTATTATTATTAAGTATTAACCAATAACCATAGATACATGACATCAGAACGTATTTTTTAATATTCAAGGTTAATTAAACATATAGTTAGAACATACTATCTTTTTAACAACTTTTAAATAAAAATATAGATGTATATTTAGAATAATATGTTTTATTTTGTGTGTGATCTAATTCTAATAGTACATTATAAACTATAATAATACCAATTTTATTTATAAGGATTTTGTATAATGTAGAAATAATATAATTATAATTTTAAATATTTTAAAATCAATTTTGTTGAAACTGGTCTTATTTAAAAAATTCCCGTATTCTTAATTTGTTTATTGTTTTTTTCCAATTATTCTTAAAAATATTGAGAATTATTAATTTTGATTTTTTAATTAACTAGCAGAATGTGGCAAAAACAACCCCAAAAGTTGATAGTAAAAACATTTTTCTTCTATAAATTGTGGAGGTACTCATACACACAAAATAAAACACACATAATTGTAAAATCAATACATTTATCGCTCCCCTCAGAATCTAAAATAAAATAATCATGAAAAAAAAAAGATGACAATAATTATTATGAGTTGGTATAGAAAGAATAATCAATTTAGACAAAATATTCTGAGTGGAGCAAATTCATTACAAAAAAAAGTAGTTGTATACAATCTATATAATTTACATATTGCATATACACAGTATTTAAATACCTACATATATATTTTGATTTTGTAAGCATGCTCGCAAATATTTTTATGTTTAAGTTAGGCATATATTCATACCTTGATTTTCAGAATTTTTAAGGGTGGTTAACACTGATATTTTTGAATATTTAGATATTTAAGGTATATTCCGAAGCTATACAAATTTGGTTTTTCAAATATTAATATCATATCTCATATAAGAACCTATATACATATTTTACTGAAAATTTGGAAACAGATGATTTTTTTTCTGAAAATGTTGATGTATTTTAATTGCAATTTCAACTTAAAGTTTCTGAGTTATTCTACTTTAACTACAAAGGATAATAGTCTATTAAATATACTTTGTAAATGGATACGAGCTCAGTTATTACAATAAATTGAGTATAGTTTGCAATATACAACATTTGTTAGTAATTACTATCTAGTCAAGTATAATAAGACGATAATTTAATAATTAATATTACAAGATGCGTATTGCTTACAGAATAATATTGATAATTTTCCAAGCAAAAGTAAATAATATTTTTTTAATGGACTATTATCCTTATAAAGTAGAATAACTATAAAACATTTCATTAAAATTTCGATAGCAATACGTCAAAATGTTCAACAAAATCATCCGATTTATAATTTACATTAAAACATGTAGATGTCACAAGTTTGTAATACACTCAAATGTTTTTACTCCGGGGATAAAACGCTGCCAGAGGGGGTAAAAATATACTACCCTCCCCCTGTAACTAATAATAATAATGATTTTGAAGTTCTTATTTTTTTTCAAACCAAAATTAGCAAAGTAACAGATCATCCTACAGATAAAAAAGTTGAAGTATGGCATCCACAATGTATAAATCAATCAGCAGACGATAGACTAAAAAACAAACCCTTACGTCGTTCTAAAATCGATAAGCTTAAAAAGTTAAAAATAACAAGCACTATTGTGGAATTAGTACCTATTATATTCCTGGCATACTAAAAATCATAAAAATATTGTTCTAGTATCGTGTCCAAACAATATCAATTTGGAAGTTGTATCTACACGTTTATGAGCCAAACAGTGAACCAAGACTTCGGATTGCGAATTGTCTATACAATTTTTGGGGAGTTTCGATAACTGTATTATGATCATACCAGGTACCTCCAAAACTTATAACCGACATTTACTTTTTTCACAGTGGTATCCGTTACATAATGTTAAAAATGAAAACAGTTAAAGATATTTTTTCTTTTCGATATAACTTTTATAAATACGACCGTGCATGATAATGATAATATAATACATCAAAAAGGTTTAGTGAACATATTATTTTTTTTAAATGCTTATATTATGATTAGCTGAGGAGAACTAAACTATCTTACACATTTTTTGTACTTTAATTTTAAACAAATAATTTAATAATAAAAAAATGTTAACAACATATTGAAAATTTCAATTTATTTTCTGCGAAAAAATTTGATACGTATGCTAGATACAAATAGGTATATAATACTGTAATTGTTTTATTCTCAACGACGGGACAGGCGTAGAGCGTTTCCATGGCACAAGTGGGAGTGGAATGGTTTTTTGGGGTACGCTTCGGTTTGCCGGCGCCTAAGCTTTTTAAGTGCTCTTCAGTATCAGGACGGACACATGTTGACTCTAACGCGTCTACTGGACTTCTGCTAGCTGTTGGAGAATTATTTCAAATAAACCTTATAGTAATAATACACCAAGGTAAGTGTCAATAATTAATCGGTACTGAAAAATAGTTAGACATTTTAAATGTATTAAAGCAATATTTCATATTACATAAAATATAATTATTGTCTATTATTCAAAAATAATACAAATTAAAATATATTCTACGATTACTTACAGTAGAATCAATTAATACATACTTAATATTTTTTTCATAATACCTATACCAAATCAAGTTTACAATTTTTTAACATTCTACTACTTACTCGTAGTATTTATTTTTAAGCTGAACTTATGTTTTCATTTATTATACGATTACTTCATAAATTGCTTGTTAATATTTGATTAAATGGTATACCGTTTGTCCGAAATATAACAGTTTTTATAAAAATTTGTTGTTGTTTGTTAATAACTAAATAATTACGAATCATACACTATTGTCTGTAGCATTTTTTATTATTAATTTCGAATGACTTTAATATGTAGCTTATAGGCGTGTTCTTAATTTAACTTTAATTAAACTTACTAAATTAAAAGTGATCCGTCTTAAATAAAATAAAAACTAAAATAAGATTAAAGATTTTTATTAGACCATTAATTTATAATTAGTAGCAAATATGAAATAACTGACCAAATAGTCAATAATTATGATAACTGCTTGGTTTGACGAATATGTTCATAGAAGTATAATAAAATGTTGTTTTAAGTTTATTAATCGAGGATAGTGTTAATTGTCCTAATTTAAGAAAGCAACTATTATCAAGATTTTATTATTCTATTATAAGAGAATGGCCATTTTACATAATAGTGAATACTGTTTAGAAACCAATATAACTTGTTATAAGCCATACGCGTCTTCAATAAATAACCAAGAAACACTGAACGGAGTTAATATAATGAAAAAGTTCCGTAGTTGAATAATTATGTTTTAGATTTGTACAAATGTAGTTTTAATTTGTGTACCTATAGATTTTATTCATTAGGTACATTTAAAGTAAAATTACTATAATATTTACAACTAACGATCAAAACTAGAGTATAGTTATCAACAAATTAGTTACAATACTTTATATTCTAATTTTTTGTAATATTATAAGCGATTGGAATAGGGATTTATTTTTCTTTGTATTTTTTTTGAAGATAATTGAGTCGCAAAATTTTACTCTGCAATAATAAACAAGTACATGATTATATATTATGTGCCTATGTTTTTTTTTTGATAAAATTATAATTTGTTTCGCTTGGTAAATATTATATATTTTCAGATGGTTAGCATCTCTAATTGTACGAGGATATTAAATTACAATTAACTACAAGATTTAGGAGGTGTGAATTTAAATTAGAAATACAGAATATTATGGTGTTATTATACAAAATTATAATAATATACAATTACTATATAAGTTGTTCAATAAGTCAGTTCAATAATGATGATAAATCGTTACATATAAAATACTGATTTACTGAATAATTTAATATTTATTTCAATGCATCAGTAATTAATAGAAATTATATTGGATATGATTACCTTTGTATTTTTACTTAATGGGTAAACACAAAGACCTGCCAGGCGAATATTATGTTTTATTCGTATAAAAACCAAAAGGATTGATTACTATAGTGAAAGTGTGGAATTTGTCCATAGCCCCTCACTGATTATCTTATTAAATTACATTCGAAACAAATATATTATAGGAGTCCTGCAGTAGAAGAACTTTCAAATGGAAAAATATGTTAGAGAATTATCTATTCCCATACAAAGTGTCGATTCCGAGTGTGTATCTTTATTTGTCATTATGTTGTTTACATTGCTACCACCAGAATATGTTATCCTACTTTCGGATTTATGTTACTATTCAAATGTTATTGGATATAAATGATATGTAAAATTGATTAACTTTAACTCAGAAAGATTCTTTTGTACAACCACGGAGGTCGTAGAAAAGTATTATATTTTCATGAAAGCCAACTTAAATACTTAGAAAAAATGTAAGCGTGCCTTAGTTTTAAATAAAAAAAATGTTCTTTAATAATAAATTACAGTTAACACCATCTGAGATGTACGCACTACTTTAAAACGTACACAAGACATACTAAATTAAATTATTAACATTCGTCTACAATTCTTCGAAAATATTTTAAATAACATTAAGTGGTTCGATGTTTGTTAAAATTACAAACATTATTTATTAGTGTTTATATTATTTATTATATGCATTATAAGTATCTATTATATTCTTATATATTTTTCTCTGGTGTTTGTGTCAATCTCGCAGTAAATATTTGAAAATATTTGTATTGAAAATAATATTTTGGTAGTTTATGAAAATGTTATTACCTTTAACATTTAAAGTATACTTACCTAATACATAATAAATAATACAATTATAATGTGGACTTAGATTATATAATAGTTACACTGTAAAACTTCCATCATATTACATAGGACGCGAGTTTCCATCCCACGATATTGTCTGTTTGACGAAATATTTTTGTAAACTAAATCACTTACAATCAATTTGAATTAATTCTATTTAACTAATTTCTTTTTCAAGAAACAACAAAAAGTTTTTATTTCCATTTCTCCCTAGTATTATTTTTGTTTTTCACGAGATTTTGTGATATGAAAGTTCAATTGTAATTTTAGGAATAGAATATCAATTAATTTGAATTGCATTATCAAAAATTTTCTCATTTTTTGCCTTGAAAAATGTTAATTTAATTAGTTCGTCATTATAAATTCTTTACATAGGTAAGATAAATATAGAAAGTGTACCAAACACAGATAAGAGATGTACAAATACTTAATATTAGATATTGTCGTTAAAATATTTCGAAACATGTGTAAGCAAAATGGCTAAATACCTTTTAATTAATGATTACATTAAATTAAATTAATAATTTTTGATAATTCTTGCAAAAATTCGATCTAACTTATCCAAGCATTGAAAATTATTTGCTAATCGGTTGACAGCTATCCTTTTTTTATCATAATTTTCCAGTTTAAATGTTACTTAAACATTAAAATAAAAATAAATATTTATGTGTGTAAACTGAAAAGTGAAAACTCATTAACGTTAATAGTTAAACTGGAATCAATAAGGACTTTAAAAAAAAACTGCATCAGTATTAAAATTATATCTGTTGGGAAACGTTATTAATAATATAATTTTTGAATCATCTATTGATATAATTAGAAAAGAAAGAATATTTATTTGATGAATTTAGCAACTGACTCGTTGCTCATCGATCACAATACGTAAAGTGCACGGAAGAGGCATGTAATGAAAATATGAAATTTTTTGTGCGTCATAGCTGCAGAGCGCAAATAATTATTGTTTCTGTTAAACCTGTATTGCGCAGTAGTTTGGGTAAGTTAGGTTTGGTTTTTCCTTACGACAGACGCGCTGGATGCGTGAAAAGGTTAGGTACATACCTGCTTAATTGTTTAAATAGGATATTATAACATCGCTATCGTAAAAAAATCTACGTAAACCAACGAAGTGACATCATAATATTATCATACATAGTTGCCTATATATTTTAATTATCGAGCGATCGCTTTCGATCGATTAGTTTTAACGACACGGAAACAATAACTCTCGAAATCGCCACCGATCGTACTCCGATGCGACGCGAAATCCGCACATTACAATACAATAGCTTGGGGTTATTTGTGCGAATCATCGACATATTTTCGGCGATAAATGTTTACCTGTGTTGCTCGTATTGGACGTTATATTAAATACGTGGGTGAAATATTTCTTTGATTGTTGCGGAGCAGTTCTAGATTTTTTTTTGTTCACCCTATCGGGAGGCACCGTCAATACATGTCATTCTGGTTAGTCGTTCACCTATACGTTTATATGTATACATATATATATTTGAACGTGTAAAAACAATCCAATTTCGTCATAAAATCAATACGACTGTATTATATATTTTCGAGAAAATGCCAATGTTTATTTGTTTTATTTCAAATAATACCTATATAATAATTAGGTGGTTATAACAAACGTGTGCGTCTCGACGACGTACTGTTCGGTTTAAGGTGACACCCAATATAAAGCGATTATTCAGTACGAACGAACACACATTATAATATTATTAGCATACGACTATAGAAGAGAAATCTCAGATTGCCGAGCAGATACAATAATAAAACACCTTTAAATACGATCCAAACCTTAATGACATACAAGCTCGCGGGGCCGTCCCGAACGAAGTAATAAATGGGGGTTAGATGCATAAAAGTGCCAACTTAAAATAATTTTCTCGCATCGCTCGACAGCTATCTTCTACCTACCTACATAGTAATCAGTAGGCATATTTTACACAATATTAGAAAATATTAAATATTTTATTATGTTTCCTATTTTATTATATTTTATGTATATATTTTCATTACATCTTGACTAGTTTATTAAAATAAAATATTTTAAATAGCAAAATTCAGAACACTATTGCATATCGATTATACTACTATGGAATGATTGAAATTAATAATGATAAAAATTACAAAATAACCAAATATTCAATAACAATATTAATTAAATAGTAAATAGTGTCAATACTGACAATATAATTTAAGTGAAAACATTTTAAAATATTATCACTTCTTCGATGTCTATGTGAGACGCGTCAACGTACAATTTTGAATTTTCGCATTACTTCTATAAATAGAAATTACAGTCTTCCGCGCACAACAGTTTCTCATCAGTTATCATAACAGTATTATTAAAAATAATTCAATCATTATAAGAATGTATAGGCAAATTTGTATACTTACATACTGTTATAAGATTATATAATATTTACATTTTTAGGTGCTATATTATTATAGTATTTGTGTTGGACAGTTGACAATTGGAAAATTAACTTAAATTCTTTCATATTATTATAAATTACAATATATTATTATGATCTGTTTGTACTTTGTAATATTTACAAAACAATTTAAAAACTGTAAAAAATAAATTATAATTTACAGAGTGCCAACTCAAATACTAAATGTATCAATACTGACTTATACGTGT